GAATGTCCTCACATTTACAAAGCCCCCGATTGCTCAGGGTTGACCCTATCCAACTCAGAGCAATCTGGCGTTGCATCAACCCAATCCAACCAAATCTAAAGTCAATCCAAATACAATTAGCGTACCACTCTACCCCATACCAGAGGTGTACAGTTTTTTACTTGTAATGTTCAGTGAGTGCATAGCCTGTACACTTGTGTGCAGAAGATTTGAGCGGTACAAGTCAACAAGTGTAAACGATTTCACCCAAATGCTTTTATATGTGTCAGACCAGCTTATAGTTGTGTTCAGTGTAATGTGTGAACAAGCCTCTTGCCTTGCTGGATCAGTCTAAGGCGGATAAGCTATGGGTCCTGGGAGTAAGCCCCACTGAACGCGGTGAAGCAGACTTTAAAGTAAACATAGGTTGGATTGTGCTGCATCATTCCATGATACCCAGTATTCTGTCTCCAACAGTGACCAGCCAGATGTCTCTGGAATGATCTGAAGCTGATCTGTGTTTCTCTGCAGCACCTGATAGTTGACAGCCTTAGATAGGATCACAGAATTCTAGAGCTGGAAGGCACCCCGAGGGTCATCTAGTCTAAACCTCTGCAATGCAGGAATCTCATACATGACAGGTGGCCATCCAACCTCTGCTTAAAAACCTCCAAGGGAGGGGAGTCCACCACTTCTCTTGTGAGTGTGTTCCACCTTCGAACAGCTCTTCCTGTCAGATAGTTCTTCCTGAAGATAATGGTTTTGTTTTTAAGTGTCACCGTTGTCATGAGCCCAGGCTGATCTTGTGGCGTTATCTCTCTTCTGAAGGGCCCATCTCCTGAAAGTGACAATCCATTCAGGGCCAAAACAAACATGCCTTGTGAGATCTGTGAGCAGATCCCCCAAACTAGTTTCCCCTGCAACCACTTTCTAGCAGCGTGCATGATCAGTGCATTCGTGGTGAAGGAGAGGTTGTTTAACACAACTCTCCCCACCATTTCTCGTGTCTAAATTTCATTATCAACCAAGCTGCTATTAGATCTATTGGGGGGGGGGAGAAGTTCTTATACTATGCCTGTCTTTCTTCTGCTGCTGTAGCAAATATTTTCAGCTTTCTTGGGGAAGGTATGTCACTCAGCTAATAGGACACAGGCTTTGCTTTCAGAAGGTCCCAAGTTCAATCACTGGCATCACCAGGTGGGGCTAGGAAAGACCTCCATCTGAAACCTTGGTGCTCCATTGCCCATCTGTGTAACAGAAAATTCTAAACTAGATAGGCCAACTTATCAGGCTCACTATAAAGCAGCTTCCTCTGTGTGACAGAGGGGCAACTTAGCTCAGGGGAATGGCATGGAGAAAAGTCTTAAAACCCACTCTCCCAGCTCCAGTGCTTCAATCCAATAAGTGTCCCCTGAAGAAGGCTTCCTTTTGTCTGTCCTCAATGCGCCGTCAATCAGTTCAACTACAGAGCTACATGTTCTAGCATTCACTCTCACCATTCTCATCTGTTGCTCAGCTAGATGATTTTCCACTCTGGATTTAATAATCTTACCGGGGGAGCTTTAGACCAAGTGGTGAACCTGTAGCCCTCCAGATGTTGGACTACAACTTCCATCAGCCTCCACCAGCATGACTCAAGAACAGGGTTGATGAGAGATGGAGTCCAATAACTTCTGGAGGGCTACGGGTGCCCCATCCCATCACCTAGAATTGCAGCCTTACTCCCTAGACACCCTGAGCATTGCATAAATCAATACACAAAACATTGGTGCCTCACTCTGCAAGGGTTCCCTAGGCAATATGTAAGAAAAGTGATGAGAGGGACCTAAACGTTCTTTGAGATGCATAAAAACATGCATAATCCATGTGGATTAGTGCTGCATCCATACTGGGCATCCCCTCACCAATGCCCCATGCTGCTCACTACGCCACTCTCCTCCCTGCTCCCCTTCTGTTTACAAGTTACCAGACAGTGGGAGAAGAGACTCTGATGTTGTTGTTGCTGATGCTGTTGTTAAATGGTCAGCATGCCAGTCAGCATGCCACAATGTGCCCTCCGTGATTGTTTTCGCCTGGATGGAATGTGTCTTTCAACTTTGACAATGCCCTTGGCAAATCTAGATGAAGGATAGAGAGACATGTGTTCATCCATGTAGAAATGAACATACTGTATAAAAGTAAAATTAATGTTGGTTGCTCCACCCATTTTTCCCCTCTGGCCCTGTCCACTCAGGGCATGTGGCCCCTGGAAGGTTGCCGAGAAGGAAATGTGGCCCTCAGGTTGAGAAAGTTTCCCCTCCCCTATGATATGTGAACTCTGGTGCACAGATGATCCCACCTATAGGACACACAACGATACTTGTGATTCAGGGACGCTGACTGCTGTGGGGCTTAAAATCAGGAACCTGACCTAATCTATAGGTCAGTGATCTTAAGGCAGGATGTCTAGGGTCCCACTCTACAGAATGAGTTGGAAGGGGGAAAGCAGCAGGGCTGTCTGATCACATTTCCAAGTAAGTAAGGTTGACCGTTAAGTTCAAAGTCTGCAACTGCCTAGTTGCAACACTGGTCCTATGAATTAAGTAAGGGGTGGGGAATCTGGGGACCTTGAGATGTTTCTGGACTGCAGGTCCCATCACCCCTGACAGTCGACCATGCTGACTGGGGGTGATGGGAATGGGAGTCCAGCAATATCCAGGTTCCCCATCCCTGGATTAGGAATTGGCTTGTTTTGCTGTTGGGGTGTGGGTGGTGCTGTGGGTTAAACCACAGAGCCTAGGACTTGCCGATCAGAAGGTCGGTGGTTCGAATCCCCACGACGGGGTGAGCTCCCGTTGCTCCGTCCCTGCTCCTGCCAACCTAGCAGTTCGAAAGCATGTCAAAGTGCAAGTAGATAAATAGGTACCGTTCCAGCGGGAAGGTAAACGGCGTTTCCGTGTGCTGCTCTGGTTTGCCAGAAGCGGCTTAGTCATGCTGGTCACATGACCCAGAAGCTGTATGCCGGCTCCCTCGGCCAATAAAGCGAGATGAGCGCCTCAATCCCAGAGTCGGTCACGACTAGACCTAATGGTCAGGGGTCCCTTAACACCTTTACCTTTTTACTGTTGGGGCTGCTGTTCAGAGGAGAGATGTGCAGGCAGTTTCAACATGGGCATGTACCAAGTGAATCCATCAGGTTTTAAGTCTGCAGCCTATCCAAAGAATCTTGAAAGGCTAAAGAGGAGATCCGCCTGAGACCTTGGAAAGTGCTACCAGCGAGAATAGATAAGGTGGGACTAGTAAGGGTGAAACATAACTTCAGATAGTTATCCTGTTTATAGACAGACTTGAAGAGATGGAAGGGACATGTTCATCCACAGATACATTAAGGCACATGGTTATGCCGGCAGATGTGGCTGGAGCCAACCATGCTCTCACACATATTAACACACACACAAACATGTACATGCCCCCCAATGCTGATCTACAGGCACATTAATATGCATTCACACATGCACATGCACACTCATACTTGCACAAACTCCTGAGGAGAAAGACGCACAGGACACTGAGAAAGGTAACTGAGATTATGGCCTTTCCTGTTATTTGTACGTTTATGATCCATAGGGTTATGAAGTCTGAAAGAAAGAAAGAAGAAAAAGGGAACAGCTTAGAAGACTGATCTCTTTATACTTGGCTGAATTGGGAGCCAATTCAAAGTTCCCTGTCTCGTCTCTAGATAGTTTGGTGATTACTTTTGGAGACCTTTTTCTTTTTTAAACTCAAGGAAGTTGATGAAGCTGCAGTTAGAAGTGGAAGGCCAGAACAGGGGAGAGGGGCTTCTGAACCCTTTCCCCTTATGCAATTATTTCCCCCCTGTTTTTCCTGCCCCTGGGGAAAGTTCTCCAAAGAAGACGAAAACACCTTGGAGGGGCAATTTTTGGTAGAAAAATTATGTGAAGTGAGAGAATTAAGGAACCCCTGCTGGTTTTCTTCTTCAAATGGCAACATCAGCAGCTGCATTGGGTAAAAAAAATGAGAGCACATCCCAAAAAAGAATTGCGGAACTATACATAACATGCAGTTTTCACCCTCAGTTTCCACCAGATGGATTCAACAGCACCAGCTGACTGCAGGAGGCTTAGAGATGGGTGTTGATTTCCCTACCATGAGGGGCACTTTTTATTCTGGACCCTTTTTCATCACCAGCCAGTCCAGCATCTGATTGTTCTTTGATATGCTTTGAAGCCCTTACCAATCAACAGGAAAAGATTAATTTCAAAGAAGCCTCAGCATTGCGGTCTAGTTCACATCTCTGCTTCCGTTTGATTCCAGCTTCCTAGATTAGTCACCTGGAGGTGGAGTGTTGCTTTGCCTGTCAGTAATTCTGTGGGTGAAGCTCTGAGTACAGAAACTGATCATGAGCAAAGCAGTCATTATTCTGATGTTGCATGACCCAGGACCCCCTCAATTGTGGGGGCAAGGCAGCACATGTGAGATGTGTCCAATGCTTCCCCACCTTGGTCAAAAATGTAGTGCCAGTACTCACATCACAGGCACCAGAACAAAATTTTCTGCTGCCCAGGGCAGGTGAACCCCATCACAAAAAGTACTGAATGTATATATAGTGGTTTTTATTAGACCCTGTAATCTAAAACATTTTTCAATAGTACTATAATTTTGCCTAATTCCAGCTTTTCCACTCTCTCTCTTTTATTTATTTATTTTTTAGGGTTTTGTTTTTTTGTGTTTTTTTTTTTGCAACTCATGCTTGTAATTCTTGAGGAAGAAAGCTTCCAAACAGTTTAACTGATGCATCTCTAATACAAATTTTGTAGGGTCACCTAACAATTCTCAGTAGCCTTAAACTAGATTTCCCAGGATTCATTGGGGGAAGCCATGACTGTTTATAAAGTGGCATGATACTGGCTTTAAATATACAGTGCAGATGGGACTCAAGATGATGGTGGGAATGCCCTGGGGAAACATGCCAAACCTCTCTTTTCTCAAACCTCTCTCTTTTCTTCCTTTTCTTTTCGTAGGAGCTGTCCAAGCCCAGAGAGGTAAGAACCTTTTCACACCCTCTTTTGTATTATTTACTGCTGCTAATGTTTTAAATAAATGATGCAAGCAGAATATGGGAGCCTGTGACAAAGAAACTTTTATTTAGGCTGTTCAGTTCCTAACAGTGATATATCAAGGGGGCACCTGTTCTTTGAGGTTTCAATTCCTTGACTGTGGTTCCTCCAGATTCTTGCACCACTCACAGCCCCTTGTGAAACACTTCAGTTTCTTCTTTCAGTCTCTCACTATCGAAACATCCAGACTTTTCAGGTGGTTGTGTCCCACAAGTGCTGACAGTTGCCTCATGACAGAGACAGGGAAGCAGCGACCCTCCAGAGTTATAATATTATTTTCTCATAATACAGTGGTACCTTGGGTTACAAACACCTTGGGTTACAAACACTTCGGGTTACAGACTCTGCTAACCCGGAAGTAGTACCTCAGGTTAAGAACTTTACCTCAGGATGAGAACAGAAATTGCGCGCTGGCAGCATGGTGGCAGTGGGAGTCCCCATTAGCTAAAGTGGTACCTCAGTTTAAGAACGGTTTCAGGTTAAGAACGGACCTCCAGAATGAATTAAGTTCATAACCATAGGTACCACTGTATTAAATCCTGTCTTTCCACAATGTCCCCAGTCGATAAGTTTTTTTGGGGAGGTGTTTAAACCCTAGTGGCTGCTTTTCTGTGTGTCTCGCACAGTGGCGTAGCGTGGGTTGTCAGCACCCGGGGCAAGGCAAGTAATTTGCACCCCCTAACCCGTGGATTTGCGCCCCCTAACCCCCAGATGTTGCGCCCGGTGCGGCCGGCCCCCCCTGCACCCCCCACGCTACGCCACTGGTCTCACAATTCCACTGCTGTTTCTCCCCAGACTGTGGCAGCTGCTACCAGCTCAACCCAGGCACCATTGCAGGCGTGGTGCTGGGAGATCTGCTGCTGACTTTGCTCATTGCATTGGCTGTATACTACGTGGCTGCCTGCATCCATCAACGCCAATCAGCTGGTAAGGAGAGAAAAGCCATTCTTATTGCAGATATTAATATTGTGCAGTTTGAAGCAAATGGATGCATTAAAAAATGACTCATTTTCAAATAAAAATTGTCCAGACCCATAAGTATTATTCAAAGCTTTACTAACCAGAAACTTATTCAAAACAGGTAAAAAAAAAAATCAATAATGCATCCAGATAGTTCCCTAAGACATATACTTGTCGAATCATAGGCTCAGCATCTTCTTAGAAATATAGTAACTCTAAACAAACCTAGAATCAAAGGTATCTCTCTCCTTACAGTCTCTGTTAGCCTGGAGCTGTATTATCTTCCAGAGAGACTCATTTTCACATCTTTTTCCCACTGGGAACAGAAGACCAAAAGCAACTCCCTTCAAAATGGCAATTTGCAACCAAATACCTTAATCACATGATCTAAGGTTAAACACTTGTGTGAAAGAGCAGAGAAGATCAACATTTAGCCCATCTAGAAGCTCAAAACTTTGTTTTAGCATACTCAGATAGAATTTCCTGTTGTTAAAACCCTTAGCAATACACATACAGGCATTTTCCATTTCCATGTCAATTAAAGAATTGCACTTAACAATTATTGTCCCCTGAGCTTGGTTGATCATTCCCCTTCTGAAAAAATGGCAGAGGTTAACACTACATGCATAGATGTGAACAAGGCAAGAAGCCTATAAACCTGCTACATGGGTGTCCACTGAATGCTTACGGGGAGTGGGGGGTTGTTCCTGCTGACCCTGCCCATCCACTCTGCAGTTTAGCATAACTTGGGTGTAGAACCTATATAGGAAAAATCTGTACAGCTTATGCCAAAAGCAGAGTCCCAGCCACCTAGCCATACAAGTTTAGTGTATCTTGATTGGATATGGATACAAGACTAGAAACTAGAGCTGAGCAGAAATACTGGGGGGTGAGGTCTGAGAAAATCTCTGAGATTCTTCTTTTTCTCACCCTACCCCCTCAGAAAAAGGAGGCCACTTTGCAGAATTTTCTCCAAATATTCCACCGTTTTTTGGTAGTGGTCACCATTCTCATTCCTCCACAATGCCATGGAGTGACATTAGGTCTTGGGCATTGGGAAGGATGTGTTGGGGAGGATGCAAAGCTGGCTGCCAGCATAATTACTATTGCTGATGTCATTTGTGGAAGGAAGGAAGGAAGGAAGGAAGGAAGGAAGGAAGGAAGGAAGGAAGGAAGGAATGAATTGTGGAAATGTCACTGCTAATCATGAACCCACTCCCAAGAAACTGTTGAATGATTTCTCCTCCTTACCTGCAAAAAAGATCGTGGAGTGAAATTGTCTCCCCAACTTCTCCTTTGTGCTAATTTGCGTGCATCTCTGCTAGAAACACAGAAATAAAAGGATGCAAAGAAACTATTTTCTCTCTACAAGAGGAAAGAGTATCTTTCCCCCACAGATATGGGGAAGCAGCTTGGGAAGGCGATTCTCTTTTTCTAAGCAGGCAAATGGCAGGCTAAGAAAGGACTAACCAATCCCTTCCAACTGTGCCACTGTTTGCAGCTCCTGAGCTTACTTTCCATAACTCCCTTTAATAGTTCCAGTTACAGATAGGTAGCCGTGTTGGTCTGCCATAGTCAAAACAAAACAAAAATCCTTCCAGTAGCACCTTAAAGACCAACTAAGTTAGTTCTTGGTATGAGCTTTCGTGTGCATGCACACTTCTTCAGATATCTGAAGTGCATCTGAAGAATCTGAATCAGATATCTGAAGTGCATCTGAAGTGCATCTGAAGAAGTGTATCTGAAGGTATCTGAAGAAGTGTGCATGCACACGAAAGCTCATACCAAGAACTAACTTAGTTGGTCTTTAAGGTGCTACTGGAAGGAATTTTTTTTTGTTTTCCCTTTAATAGCAAATGGACGTGGTGAGTGGCAGAACTTGGTGTCTCATATTTCAGTGGCATTCCATGTAATGCCAAAATCCAGTGCCCTTCCCTGTCTCCCATCTTCCATTGGAGTAATAGTGGCAGAGCTGCTCCGGTGCCCCAGAAACTCTGTGCTTGAAGTGACTGCTGGAGTCGTGCTCCCCAAGAGCGCCTCTGTGGCTGGAGTCAAGACAGGACCACAGCGAGTTTGTGAGAACCAGAGGTTTGCAGACACAAGCAAGTAAACAAGCAGGCAATAAATTGCAGTGGAGGAGGAACCCGACTAATGCAGACTGAGCACGCTCAGTAGCCACAGAATGTTGCATGTTAATTGGAAAGGGAAAAAATGGAAAAGGGAGGATGGAGAATGGAATGGAGCATCCTGGAGAAGGGCTTAGCTGGCTGTGACATGTAAGAGTGTGCAGCAATCTTTTGCTGCAGGTCCACTCGGTTTCCTTTTTTAAAGCCTAGGAAAAGACTTGCGGAACTCTGCCTAGCTTCTAATTTGGCCTTCTTAGCTTGCAGCCAGAGGTTTTAACCGAACCCTTTTAACCACAAACTTTAACCAGCATTACACCCTTCCTCCCTTGAGCAGGGAAGACAACGTAACCTCAGCTCCCACCTGCTCAGGCTTTTTTGCCTCTCTATTTGCCTTTGAGGAACAAGACTCTGGCAGGGGAGGGTTAGAAACTTCAGAGCGATCCTAGTTATTCTTGGCCAGCCATTGTAGGACCCTGAAGCAAGTTTTAGCTAGGATATTGTCATGCTAGTTCAGAGGCACCGGCTTGTGAGGGTGATTGCATTTGTGACATCCCAACGTTGCGCACCTAACGTCAGGACATCAGGAGGAGGCAGACACTGTTATCACACGGCTCCTTCTCTGCCTCCTCCTAGCGCTGCCACCGGCAAGAGGCTGCCTCGCCCCTTCTTCCCTTCATGGAAGGCGGAGGAGCAGAAGGGAGCGGCCACTGGAGTCATGCTTTCTCTCTCACCATAGTCTCAACGAAAATCCCCCCACTGGGTGAACTAGGGGTTTTCATTATAAGGTGCCTAGCATTGATGAGAGGGAAGAGGTCCCCAGCCTTCCATGAAGGGAAGAGGTTATTTACCTCAGGACCATGGTGGGGAGGACCTTCCTCCTTGCATATCTGATGAAAGTTGAGGTGATCCCCCTTAGCAACTTTTTTTTAAAAATGGCCCTTCCAGTGAATCTTTCAATACTGTATCTTGTTTCGCCTTAGGGGGTGTGCTGGGCAAATATCTGAGAGGAATGGCTCACACTAAGGGCTCGTTCACAGTTCTGCTTGTCCCACGGCTAGAAAGCCTGGCTCCTTTCCCAGGGAAAACCTACTCTTTAGCTTTAAATCAGAACAAACAGCATTATGCAGAATACTCAATTGGAGTTTGCTCTGATTGAGCGCTAAAGAGCGGTTTTTTCCGGGGGCAGCGGGAAGCAGCAGAACAAAAGGAAGTGTGGATAAGCCCTCAGACACGTAGCTGACAAATGTTGATATAACTCTCAAATACCAGAGTCTCGTTTATGCTTGAAAAATAGCATCTATGTCAGCCTGTCATCCTCCAGCTATTTCACCCAAAACATACAGAGGGTGACGGGTTAGCAGCACCTGATCTACACAGATGGAATAAGAAACAGAACTGTTTCTCTCCCACATGAAAACACTTATTTTTCTTCTTCTTAGGAGACCTAAAGAACCCTCCGCATGAGTCCCCATATGAGGTGAGTATGACCATGTGATTCCTTACTTCGACCCTGAGGCCTACTGAACAGGCCTGTTGTGATGAGCCAAGCGGTTGCCATGACGATGAGCCCTGAATCATTGCCACAATGGGAAGCCAAACCATGGCATTATACCCTGACAGGTTGAATACTGGTGTGCGTGTTAATCTGTTTTTAGTTTATTGCTGTTTTTAATTTTTTTCCCCATTTTCAATAGCTTAAAAAAAAATTATTGATAATTTTACTATTTTTTGTAAACCATTTTGAGGTTTTTGTTTTGTTTTGTTTTGTTTTGTGCCGTCCTGCAGTATATAGACTTTATGAAATTTATTTAATTAATAAATTATAGTGCCATGGAAGAAAATCAAAACGGGGCATGCATATGTACATAGCAGTCAGGGTTGCCTCCAATTCGTTGCCAACAAAAATGAGGAAATGCATGTCCAGAAGGGAAGTCACAGTCAGGTATAAAATTTCCATGTACTAATTTATATGTATGTATGTATCCCATATGGGACGCGGGTGGCGCTGTGGGTAAAACCTCAGCGCCTAGGACTTGACGATCGTATGGTCGGCGGTTCAAATCCCCGCGGCGGGGTGCGCTCCCGTTGCTCGGTCCCAGCGCCTGCCAACCTAGCAGTTCGAAAGCACCCCCGGGTGCAAGTAGATAAATAGGGACCGCTTACTAGCGGGAAGATAAACGGCGTTTCCGTGTGTGGCTCTGGCTCGCCAGAGTAGCTTCGTCACGCTGGCCACTTGACCCGGAAGTGTCTGTGGACAGCGCTGGCTCCCGGCCTATAGAGTGAGATGAGCACACAACCCTAGAGTCTGGCAAGACTGGCCAGTATGGGCAGGTGTACCTTTACCTTTTACTTATGTATCCCATAGGGTATGCAGACGGTGGCCAGGTCTCCTGCCCACTGTAAAGTCAAGTCCCCTTACTCTCCATTCTTAGTAGCAAAGTATCAAAAAGAAGATCCATTCAGACAGAGGGCTGAAGCCCCTTCCACCCCCTATAATAGACGCCCCTGTCCCGGCTGTTGCACTTCTGACAAAAGAGAAGAAATGGGTATTCAGCCAGCCAAATAATGAAAATATGTCATGACACTCTGCTTCTTTTTTACCTTACAGGAGCTCCAAGTCCGTGGGGTGGATATTTACAGTGACCTCAAAAATCCCGGCCCTGGAACCTACAAATAGTCTTCCTTCTCTGTGCTGCTCTTTTGAGCTTCTACGTACAGTGGTACCTCGGGTTACATACGCTTCAGGTTACATACGCTTCAGGTTAAAGACTCTGCTAACCCAGAAATAGTGCTTCAGGTTAAGAACTTTGCTTCAGGATGAGAACAGAAATCGTGTTCCGGTGGTGCGGCAGCAGCGGGAGGCCCCATTGGCTAAAGTGGTGCTTCAGGTTAAGAACAGTTTCAGGTTAAGTACGGGCCTCCGGAACGAATTAAGTACTTAACCTGAGGTACCACTGTACAAGATTGCTGTTCAGTTTCTCCTCTTCAGCAGGCCTACTCAGAAGTTGTACTTTAAGGAAAGCTTTCTAACTGTGAACTTTCATTTGCTTCTTCTCAATATAGAACTTCCTCCACAGCGCTCGTCTGCTCTATTTTTGTGGAGCGTGTTCTGTCCCGTCCCCACCCACCCACCCACATGCATCAATTGCAACATGGTCGGAACTGCTACGAGTTGAGACACAATGCAGAGCTCTTGGTGGGAGGGGATTGGGACATTTCTTCAACCAGGACCCCCTTCTTCAAGCATAGAAACTCTGGCTGGTGGCCAAATCCCAGTTAATGCCGTGTCATGCATAAGACTAGAGGAGAAATCCATTTCGGCTGACATTTAAAGGCCAACTTACCTAATTTCAGAAACCATGCATGAATGGAAGCAAAGCCCTCCTTTGAAATTTGCACTTCCCCAAATTTGGCAATGCAGTTCTCCAGCCAAAAATCCATATATATGAGGAAGCCGTCCATATAAAAGCATATATTTGTGAAAATGACGCACAAGCATGCATGATACTAGCTTTGCAAAAGTGGGCATCTTAGGCAAAATTGCATACCAAAAAAAAAAATCTATTCAAAGAAATGTGCACTATGATGCTGATGTATTTTCATGAGGACTTATAAAAAATAATTTGCAAACCACCTAGCAGCTGATGTGTGGGGTAGCACTGCAGCAGCTGCCATTTTCCTGTGCATTCTCCAGCCAGCCCCAGAGCGTCATGGAGAAAGAGCCGGAGAGCGGGGGGAAATGGACATTCGGAAGCATTTTAGAGGGCACTCCCCAATTTACACGATTTTGCTTATGAGTGTGGGGGCCCGCTAGGTAACCCCAGTGCAAATGGGGGAGGTGCCTATATCAAATACGCCAAATATATATTGTAATAAATGCAGTGTAATTATTCCAATAAATAATTAAACAAATCAAACATGCTTTTGTGTTGTGGTTCTGCAAATATGTCACAATTCCTATCTTCTCACTAGCCATAAGACAGGGATAGGGAACCTGAAACTCTCTGGCTGGTGATGGACTCCAGTTCCCATCAGCCTCGGCCAGCATGGCCAATGGCCAGGAATGATGAGAGTTGTAGTACCAAAAATAAATAGTCTAACAGCATGTTCCCCAGTCCTAAGACCCCCATTGTACATCTGGCTCCACCACCAGATATTTTTATTTTGTTCCTGGCTCCCACTGATGGACCTGGGGAGTTGGAGCACACACAAAAAAGAGTCTGTCTCATAAACCTGAATTCCGACTACCCCTGCTGTAAACTGATACTTTTGTCCGATTTACAGTGAAAGAAGCAAGAGACTCCTTAACTACAGTGGGGGAGCACTCTGGGACTGAAATATATAACCCAATAAGGGTTGGGCAGGAGGGGGTTTTTTGTTGGTTCTTTTTACTAAAGAGAGCCACCCCTATTTGATCACTTTACTTCTTTGTCAGTCCTGCTCTAGATTTTCCTGTTAGTAATCCCCATCCACCAGGGCCATTGAGAAATTATTTCCAGGCACTCATAGGACATGACACATTGCTTCTGTTCTTTTGTGCATGATATCCCTAAGAAGTGGGGTGGGGGGGAATGGGGCCCAGGGGACAAATGTAGCCCTCTGGACCTCTCCAACTGTCCTTCATGACTCTGTGATTCTCTAAAGGGAATGGATACAGAATTCTAAGCAGCCTCACCAGTGTGTGCTGCCAAACTCCTATGTGGGGATGCTTTGATGGTAAAGCTGCTATGAAACCGATTGAATGATTTAGTCTAGATGAGGGGTTGTCAACCTGGTCCCTACCACCCACTAGTGGGCATTTCAGGATTCTAGGTTGGTAGTAGGGGGTTCTACGGCACAAGCGGAATACTCCTTCCATCGAGCACTGGTGGGCGGTGAGGAAATTTTACCATCAAGGAAGATGCATTAGTGGGTGGTAGGTATACCATTGATCTAGATCTGCTAAGTTATGATCATTCAGATTCCAAACACTTCAGACATTCAGCAGTGGGGGGAAAGCGCAGAAAAGCAATCAAAGCCCTGATCTACAACATTGTTGCCGTCAGAGTTGTTGGATGAAAAGGGGTGACAGGGCAAGGCTGAGAAATCAGAATATAAAATGAAAAATCATCCAGTCTGTTAGATCTAGTGTGGGCTAACTATCCTGTTTTTGAGACAGGCTGCAAAGTAAGAGTTGGGTAACCATTCACTGCCTGCTGTATTTGCTTCTAATCTGATCTTTCTCAGCGGGAGGAGCGAGCAGTGTGAGGCCACAGACAGCTTCCTGCTGCCTTGTTGCCGTGGAGGGGGTGGGGAAAGAAGTTTTTCGTTCCTTCCTACAGAGAGGATCCTTCTCTTCAGTTTGGAGGAATCAGCAGTTGGGCCAAGACTGAACCTAAAGAATTATGTTGGGTGGGAGGGATGGTGGGCAATGGCACAAAGTGAGTGGCTGCTGCTGCTTGGGCAGGGCGCTTTCAACACAGGAAGCTGCCTTGTACTGAGTCAGACTATCAGTCATCTAGATTAGTATTGACAAGACTGATTGACAGCGGCTCTCCAGGGTTCCATGATAAGGTTTTCATGCCAAGCCATATCTGGAGATGTTGGGGATTGGAACCTGGGACTTCCTGTGGGCAAATTAGTTGCTCTACCACTGAGCTATGGCCCTTTTAAGAACACCATCCTTGCCACCCACTCCACCTGCTCCTAGCTCCACAAACAAATGATTCTTAGCTTAAGGCTGCCCCAATCTGAAGGACATATTTTGAACTTGTAACATAGCATGTCTTTCCCCTATCAACGCACACAAACATACCCCAGATAGGTCAACGGCATCTCCTTTTCTCCAACGCCGGCGGTGACCCAAACATTTCATTTCATTTGGAAGTGTTTGCTTGTTTAAATCATTTGTCCCCCAAATTTAGCAAGCCCTGCCCAATGTATACATAAGAGCAACAATAAAATGAAACCTAAAACAATCCATGGTGAAAAGCAAATTAAATGCACACACTTCAGAAATCAAAGAAACCAGCATAAAGCTAAAGCCCTTCTGGAACACAAGCATCTTCAGATCTCTCCTAAAAAATAGGGAGAAATGGGGCATTTTAGATTTCCTGGGGGGACAGCAAATCCTTGCAAATGTCAGGCCAGAGACAAAGGCCCCTGATGCCCATCTCAGGCAGGTTCATACTTTTAGCTGGGCTGTAGGGTAAAGTAACCCAGTCCCAGGTCAGTTTGGGGAACTTGTGGCCCTCTAGATGCTGTTGGTCTCCAACTCATATCAGCCGCAACCAGCATGGGCAATAATCAGGGTTGATGGAAGTGGCATTCAGCAACATCTGGAGGGCCAAAGCTTCCCCTAGGCCATATATGTCTATATGTAGAAAAGTCTCTTCGTATCTTCATGTGACTAACAGTCCATTGAGAACATCAGGAGCAGAGCTTGTGTGCACACTCTTATCCCTATGTTTAATCTTTCAGACCTTCAGGCAAAGGCCAGAACTTCCAACCTGGTGTTGGCTGAGCAGGTTCAGTAAGCACAGATTTGATATGAAGATGCCAGGGTTATATATATATAAGGCTCTGGAGATGGGAACCTTACTTAGTGAATGACCATGAGTATCCAAGCTTCAGTATCCTCTGCTAGTGCAACCAAGAACAGCTGTGTGCAAAAACTGTGGCCTACAGTTGGCTGGCAGTAAAAAGCCTATTGACTGGCCAGGCCTAGTTTTCTGATGCCTCCTTGCTCCTCTAATGACAAGCTCCATTCTAGCTGTGTGGTGTGCTGTAGCTATAGTATTACCATATTTCCTGTGTTGTCGGAGAACATGGTGCAATCAGCACGACAGTCCCTGTTGTCTGGCTGAAGCCACAGCCCAGCAAGAAGCACATGATGTGACTCACTCAAACCATCTGACCTTCCTGTCTCTCTCTCTCAGCTCCTTTTAAAGTTTCTCTCTGTCACACCAAGTGACCGCTGGCATTCTTCATGATCAAACGCAGCAGTCCAGTCCACCCACTACTGCAGCTGTAAGGTGCTGACTTCCAGATGTGGCTGGAACTACAACTCCCATCATCCTTGACCATTACCCCTTGTGACTGGGGCTGATGGGAGTGGGGAGTCCAACAACCTCTGGAGGTCCACAGTATGGAGTTAAAATTCAATTTTGTTTGCAGAATTTTAATGAGAAATTACCCAATTTGGATGCTTCAAACAAATATGTGAACTGAAATAGGTATTCTCCGAAATTCGTGCTGCACTGAATTTTGCAATGCAGTTCTCCAATCGGACAACAGGTACAAAAATGTGAAATGTGCATACGAATGCATATTTTAGTAAAAATTGCATGCCAAGATGCATTGTATTAAAGAAAATTGCTTGCAAATTGGTATGTCAAAACTCCCAATGAAAATGTGTTTATTGGGAGAAAATCACATTGGAATGATTACAAATATGCATGAGGATTTCTTTAAAAAAAAAAAAACCGCCCAGCAAATTACTGCAGAAATGTGGAGAATTGATTTAAGATTGGGAAAAGCAAAAACCTGGAGAACCAAAAATGTTGCCTCTGTCCATCCCTACCTGTGATCCCAGAAGCTTCTTTGACCCTTTGATTCTTTTTAACTAGAGTTGCCAGGGATTGAACTGAGGTCCTCTTGCATCCAGAACAGGTGCTTTGCCACTGAGCAGTGCTCCCATTGCACAACGAGGACCACAACAGTGCATAAGCAAAGTGTGCCCTTCATCATGACCACCCACTCGCTCCCTGCTAAGCTTACCGATTGCGGATGGGTACTGGCAGAGTCGCGGGTGGCGGGTGGGTA